TACCCTAACACTAGCCCCTACACCAATAACACTAGCCCCTATACAGAACACTATACCCTGTACCCTAACACTAGCCCCTATACATAACACTAGCCCCTACACCATAACACTAGCCCCTACACCATAACACTAGCCACACACCATTACACTATCCCCTACACCCTAACACTACCCCCCATACCCAAACCCCATACCCAAACACTTTACCATAACACCATCCCCATATATCCTAACACTAGCCCCTATACACTAACACAAGTTCCTTTACCCTAACACTAGCCCCTACACCCTAACCCTAACCCACATACCCTAACAGTAGCCCCTACACCCCTACACTACCCCCCCTACACCATAAACACTATCCCCTACACCCTAACACCTATCCCTACAACCATAACACTAGGCCCTCCAACCACCCATAACACTAGCCCTACACCACCATAACATCTAGCCCCCATACCCAAAAAACCCACATACCCTAACACTATACCATAACCCTATCCCTAACACTGTTTCTTATACTAAACCACTAGCACACTATAACATAACCTTAACCCCCATACCATAACCTAACCCATACCCTAACACTAGCCCCTAACCCTAACAAATAGCCCTATATAAGCCCTAACCCTAACTAACATAGCCCACCATAACCCTAACCCCATACCCTAACCTATACCCTAACACTAACCCCTACACCCTAACCCTAACCCTTACACCTAACACTGAGCCCATACATAACCTACCCCATAACACCTAGCCCCTATACATAACACTAGCCCCTATACCATAACACTAGCCCCTATACATAACACTTAGCCCCTAACACCCTAACACTAGCCCTATACCATAACACTAGCCCTATACCATAACACTATCCCTACACCATAACACCTATCCCTACACCCATAAACACTAGCCCCTACACAACACTAGCCCCTATACCATAACACTACCCCTAACCATAACACTACCCCTACACCATAACACTAGCCCCTATACCATAACACTAGCCCCTATACCATAACACTAGCCCTACACCATAACACTAGCCCCTACACCATAACACTAGCCCCTACACCATAACACTAGCCCCTACAACAACACATAACACTAGCCCCTATAAAACCATAACACTAGCCCCTACAACCATACACTACTAACACTAGCCCCTATACCATAACACTAGCCCCTATACCATAACACTAGCCCCTATACCATAACACTAGCCCCTATACCATAACACTAGCCCCTATACATAACACTATTCCCTACACCATAACACTAGCCCCTATACCATAACACTAGCCCCTATACATAACACTAGCCCCTATACCATAACACTAGCCCCTATACCATAACACTAGCCCCTATACCATAACACTAGCCCCCATACCCTAACAGTAGCCCCTACACCATAACACTATAAAAACCCACACCCATAACACTAGCCCCTATACCATAACACTAGCCCCTACACCATAACACTAGCCCCTATACCCAAACCCCATACCCTAATACTATACCATAACACTAGCCCCTATACCCTAACAGTAGCCCCTACACCATAACACTATACCCTACACCATAACACTAGCCCCTACACCATAACACTAGCCCCTACACCATAACACTACCCCTACACCATAACACTAGCCCCCATACCCAAACCCCATACCCTAACACTATACCATAACCCTAATCCCTATATCCTACCACTAGCCCCTACACCCTAACCCCCATACCCTAACACTATACCATAACCCTAACCCCTATACCCTACCACTAGCCCCTATACACTAACACAAGCCCCTACACCCTAACCCCCATACCCTAACACTAGTTCTTATAACTTAACACTAGCCACTATAACATAACCTTAACCCCCATACCCTAACACTAGCACCTATACCCTAAAACTAGCCCTTATACCCTAACCCTATAACTTAACATTAGCCCCTAAACCCTAACCCTATACCCTAACACTAACCCCTACACCCTAACCGTAACCCCTTACCCTAACACTAGCCCCTATACATAACACTAGACCCTGTACCCTAACACTAGCCCCTATACCATAACACTAGCCCCTGCACCCTAACCCTAACCAGGGGTAGGCAACCCTGTTCCTGGAGTGCCGCAGGTACTGCAGGATTTTGTTCCAACTAGGCACCACACCTGAACAACTGAGCTAATTGATCAGTTCAGTGATTGCCTAAATCACAGTCTTCCAGGTCGGTTTAATCAAAAACATGAAGTACCTTCCGCACTCCAGGACCAGGGTTGCCTACCCCTGGTTAGGGTTAGGGTGCAGGGGCTAGTGTTATGGTATAGGGGCTAGTGTTAGGGTACAGGGTCTAGTGTTAGTGCCTACCCCTGCCCTGTACCCTAACACTGTCACCTAGCTGTATGGAGAAGGTACTGCTCTGTTTCAGCTGTTATGGTCAGTCTAGCTGTATGGAGAAGATACTGCTCTGTTTCAGCTGTTATGGTCAGTCTAGCTGTATAGAGAAGGTACTGCTCTGTGTCAGCTGTTATGGTCAGTCTAGCTGTATGGAGAAGGTACTGCTCTGTTTCAGCTGTTATGGTCAGTCTAGCTGTATGGAGAAGATAATGCTCTGTTTCAGCTGTTATGGTCAGTCTAGCTGTATGGAGGAGATACTGCTCTGTTTCAGCTGTTATGGTCAGTCTAGCTGTATGGAGAAGAAGGTACTGCTCTGTTTCAGCTGTTATGGTCAGTCTAGCTGTATGGAGAAGGTACTGCTCTGTTTCAGCTGTTATGGTCAGTCTAGCTGTATGGAGGAGAAGGTACTGCTCTGTTTCAGCTGTTATGGTCAGTCTAGCTGTATGGAGAAGAAGGTACTGCTCTGTTTCAGCTGTTATGGTCAGTCTAGCTGTATGGAGAAGATACTGCTCTGTTTCAGCTGTTATGGTCAGTCTAGCTGTATGGAGGAGAAGGTACTGCTCTGTTTCAGCTGTTATGGTCAGTCTAGCTGTATGGAGAAGAAGGTACTGCTCTGTTTCAGCTGTTATGGTCAGTCTAGCTGTATGGAGGAGAAGGTACTGCTCTGTTTCAGCTGTTATGGTCAGTCTAGCTGTATGGAGAAGGTACTGCTCTGTTTCAGCTGTTATGGTCAGTCTAGCTGTATGGAGGAGAAGGTACTGCTCTGTTTCAGCTGTTATGGTCAGTCTAGCTGTATGGAGAAGAAGGTACTGCTCTGTTTCAGCTGTTATGGTCAGTCTAGCTGTATGGAGAAGGTTACTGCTCTGTTTCAGCTGTTATGGTCAGTCTAGCTGTATGGAGAGAAGGTACTGCTCTGTTTCAGCTGTTATGGTCAGTCTAGCTGTATGGAGGAGAAGGTACTGCTCTGTTTCAGCTGTTATGGTCAGTCTAGCTGTATGGAGAAGAAGGTACTGCTCTGTTTCAGCTGTTATTGTCAGTCTAGCTGTATGGAGAAGGATACTGCTCTGTTTCAGCTGTTATGGTCAGTCTAGCTGTATGGAGAAGGTACTGCTCTGTTTCAGCTGTTATGGTCAGTCTAGCTGTATGGAGAAGAAGGTACTGCTCTGTTTCAGCTGTTATGGTCAGTCTAGCTGTATGGAGAAGGTACTGCTCTGTTTCAGCTGTTATGGTCAGTCTAGCTGTATGGAGAAGGTACTGCTCTGTTTCAGCTGTTATGGTCAGTCTAGCTGTATGGAGAAGGTACTGCTCTGTTTCAGCTGTTATGGTCAGTCTAGCTGTATGGAGAAGGTACTGCTCTGTTTCAGCTGTTATGGTCAGTCTAGCTGTATGGAGAAGGTACTGCTCTGTTTCAGCTGTTATGGTCAGTCTAGCTGTATGGAGGAGAAGGTACTGCTCTGTTTCAGCTGTTATGGTCAGTCTAGCTGTATGGAGAGAAGGTACTGCTCTGTTTCAGCTGTTATGGTCAGTCTAGCTGTATGGAGAAGGTACTGCTCTGTTTCAGCTGTTATGGTCAGTCTAGCTGTATGGAGGAGAAGGTACTGCTCTGTTTCAGCTGTTATGGTCAGTCTAGCTGTATGGAGGAAGGTACTGCTCTGTTTCAGCTGTTATGGTCAGTCTAGCTGTATGGAGAAGAAGGTACTGCTCTGTTTCAGCTGTTATGGTCAGTCTAGCTGTATGGAGAAGGTACTGCTCTGTTTCAGCTGTTATGGTCAGTCTAGCTGTATGGAGAAGAAGGTACTGCTCTGTTTCAGCTGTTATGGTCAGTCTAACTGTATGGAGAAGGTACTGCTCTGTTTCAGCTGTTATGGTCAGTCTAGCTGTATGGAGAAGAAGGTACTGCTCTGTTTCAGCTGTTATGGTCAGTCTAGCTGTATGGAGAAGGTACTGGTCTGTTTCAGCTGTTATGGTCAGTCTAGCTGTATGGAGAAGAAGGTACTGCTCTGTTTCAGCTGTTATGGTCAGTCTAGCTGTATGGAGAAGAAGGTACTGCTCTGTTTCAGCTGTTATGGTCAGTCTAGCTGTATGGAGAAGAAGGTACTGCTCTGTTTCAGCTGTTATGGTCAGTCTAGCTGTATGGAGGAGAAGGTGCTTTCTGTGTTCTTTGGAATGTTTGGATCCTTCTAGACTGTAAATGTGATTTGTGGTTTCAAATAAAGTACTTAAAATGTGTGTGTGATAGCGTGTGTATGTGTGTGATGATGTGTGTGTGCATGTGTGATGGTGTGTGTATGTGTGTGATGGTGTGTGATGGTGTGTGATTGTGGATGTGATGGCGTGTGTATGTGTGTGATGGTGTGTGATAGTGTGTATGTGATGGTGTGTGATGGTGTGTGACGGTGTGTGATGGTGTGTGATGGTGTGTGATGGTGTGTGATGGTGTGTGATGGTGTGTGTGTGTGATGTGTTGGTGTGATGGTGGTGTGATGGTGTGGTGATGGGTGTATGTGTTATTGTGTGTGATGGTGGTGTGATGGTGTGTAATGTGTGTGATGGTGTGTGTATGTGTCTGGTGTGTGAGGGTTTGTGAATTTGTGTGATGGTGTGAGGTTGTGATTGTGTGGTTGTGGTGTGTGATGTTGGTGTGTGCTGGTGTGTTTGTGATTTTGTGTGTTGTGATGGTGTGTGATGGTGTGTGTGTTGATGTGTGGTGTGATGGTTGTGTTATGCTGTGTGAGGTTGTTGTGCTTTTTCTTGTTTGTTGTTTTGTGATGTGTTTTTTTTTTCTTTTATGTTTGGTGTGTTGTGATTTTTGTGTTATTTTTTGGGTTTTGTTTTTGTTTGTTGCTTTTTTTTTTTGTTTGTTTTATTTGGTGTTGATGTGTGTTTGTGTGGTGGTGTGTTGTGTGGTGTGTGCTGTGTGTGGTGTTTGGTGTGATGGGTGTTGATGTGTTGTGTGGTGTGTGCTTTTTTTGTGTTGTCCTTTCTGGTTTTGATGGTGGTTGTGTGTGATGGTGTTCTGTGTTAGGGTGTGTGCTGGGGTGTGTTGTGTGTGTGTGTCTGGTGTGTTGTTTGTGTGTCTGGGGGGTGTGTGTGTGATGTTGTGTTGTGCTGGTGTTTGTGTGTGTTGTATGTGTGTGTTTGGTTTGCTGTGGTTGAGGTGGTGCTGGTGTGTGCTGGTTGTGTGGTGTGTGGTGTGTGATGGTGTGATGGTGTGTGCTGGTGTGTGTTGTGTGTGTAGTGTGTGATGTGTGATGGTGTGTTGTGATGGTTGTGTGTGGTGTGTGATGTGTGTGTGCTGGTGTGTGCTGGTGTTGTTTGTGGTGTGTGTGGTGTGGTGCTGGTGTGTGATGGTTTTGTGATTGTGTGTTTGGTGTGTTGTTGATGGTGTTGTGCTGGGTTGATGTTTGTGTTGCTGTGTGTCTGTTGGTTGTTGGTGTGTATTTGTTGCTGGGTGTGTGCTGATGGTGTGTGTGTGTGTCTGTGCTGTTGTGATGGTGTGTGATTGTGTTCTGTGATGGTGTGTATTGTGGTTGTGTATTGGTGTGGTGTGTATGGTGTGCTGTGTTGTGTGGTGTTTCCGGTGTTTGTGGGTTTGATTGTTTGGTGTGTGTGTGTGTGTTGGTGTGTGCTGTTGTTGCTGTGTGTGCTGGTGTGTGATGTGTGTCTGTGTGTTGCTGGTTGTTGGTGTGTTGTTCTTGTGTTTTGTGGTTTTGTGTTGCTTGTGTGCTTGTTTCTTCTGTTGCTGGTTGTTTTGTTTCTTGTTGTGCGGTGTGTGCTGTGTTTTGTTCTTGCCTGGTGTGTGCTGGTTTGGTGGTGTGTGCTGTGTGTGCTGGTGTATGGTGTGTCTGCTGTGTTCTGTTGTGCTTGTTTGTTCTTGTGTCCGGTTTCTTGTGTCTTACTGGTTTTTGGTGTGTCTGTGATGTGTGTGATGGCGTGTGATGTGTGTGATGTGTTGGTGTTACTGGTGTGTATGTGTGTGATGGTGTGTGATGGTGTATATCTGTTTTTCCAGGCTTCTCCTGCTGTTCTACCTGGTGTTCTATATATTCCTGGGTGGAATGTTTGTCCTGACCATGTACGTGATGCTGCTAACACTGGACGACTATAAACCTACCTACCAGGACCGCCTCGTTACCCCAGGTACACACACACACACACACACACACACCTACCAGGACCGCCTCGTTACCCCAGGTACACACACACACCTACCAGGACCGCCTCGTTACCCCCCGGTACACACACACACACACACACCACACACACACCTACCAGGACCGCCTCGTTACCCCAGGTACACACACACACACACACACACACACACACACACACACCTACCAGGACCTCCTCGTTACCCCAGGTACACACACACACCTACCAGGACCGCCTCGTTACCCCCAGGTTACACACCACACACCACAAAACACACCTACCAGGACCGCCTCGTTACCCCCAGGTACACACACACACACACACACACACACACACACACACCTACCAGGACCGCCTCGTTACCCCCAGGTACACACACACACACACACCTACCAGGACCGCCTCGGTTACCCCCAGGTACACACCACACACACACACACACACACACACACACACCTACCAGGACCGCCTCGTTACCCCAGGTACACACACACACCTACCAGGACCGCCTCGTTACCCCAGGTACACACAAACACACACACACACCTACCAGGACCGCCATCGTTACCCCAGGTACACACACACAACACACACACCACACACCACACCTATCAGGACCGCCTCGTTACCCCAGGTACACACACACAACACACACCCTACCAGGACCGCCTCGTTACCCCATGTCCACACACACACACCACACACACACAACACACACACACACCACACACACACAACCACACACCTACCAGAGGGGACCGCCTCGTTCCCCAAGTTACACACACACACACACACACACAACCACACACACACCACACACACACACACACCCACACACCTACCAGGACCGCCTCGTTACCCCAGGTACACACACACACACACACACACACACACACACACACACCTACCAGGACCGCCTCGTTACCACCCCCAGTACACCACACACACACACCACAACACACACACCTACCAGGACCGCCTCGTTACCCCAGACACACACACACACACACACCACACACACACACACACACACACCTACCAGGATCACATTGTTACCCCAGGTACACCACACACCTACCAGGACCACCTCGTTACCCCAGGTACACCACACACCTACCAGGACCACCTCGTTACCCCAGGTACACCACACACCTACCAGGACCACCTTGTACTTTCTACAACACCCTAACCTCTAACCCCTAACCTCTAACCCTCTCTGTTGTGCTGCAGGTATGATGATTCGTCCACGGGGCGAGGCCATGGAGATTCTCTACAACACCAAGGACACAGAGAGCTGGGACATCTACGCCCAGACACTGGACAACTTCCTCGGACGTAAGACGTGTGTATGTGTCTGAGTGTGTGCTTTAAAGCCATTTACCGGCCTATAATGACAGAGGTTATGACTGTGTGTGTGTGTGTGTGTGTGTGTGTGTGCATGTGTGTGTGTGTGTGTGTGTGTGCGTATAGCCTACAACAACTCCCTGCAGGTCCAGAACAACGATGAGTGTCCCCCTGATAATTACTTCATCCAGGAGGACAGTGGAGAGGTGAGGAACAACTAACCTCTAACCCCTGACCTCTAACCCCTAACCTCTAACCCCTGACCTCTAACCCCTGACCTCTAACCCCTAACCTCTAACCCCTAACCTCTAACCCCTAACCTCTAACCCCTAATCTCTAACCCCTAACCTCTAACCCCTGACCTCTAACCCTGGACCTCTAACCCCAAACCTCTAACCCCTGACCTCTAACCCCTGACCTCTAACCCCTAACCTCTAACCCCTGACTTCTAACCCCGGACCTCTAACCCCTGACCTCTAACCCCTAACCTCTAACCCCTGACTTCTAACCCCTGACCTCTAACCCCGGACCTCTAACCCCTGACCTCTAACCCCTGACCTCTAACCCCGGACCTCTAACCCCTAACCTCTAACCCCTAACCTCTAACCCCTAACCTCTAACCCCTGACTTCTAACCCCTGACCTCTAACCCCGGACCTCTAACCCCTAACCTCTAACCCCTGACCTCTAACCCCTGACCTCTAACCCCTAACCTCTAACCCCTGACCTCTAACCCCGGACCTCTAACCCCGGACCTCTAAACCCTAACCTCTAACCCCTAACCCCTAACCTCTAACCCCTAACCTAACCCGACCTCTAACCCCTGACCTCTAACCCCTGACCTCTAACCCCTAACCTCTAACCCCTGACTTCTAACCCCTAACCTCTAACCCCTGACTTCTAACCCCTGACCTCTAACCCCTGACCTCTAACCCCTAACCTCTAACCCCTAACCTCTAACCCCTGACCTCTAACCCCTAACCTCTAACCCCTGACCTCTAACCCCTAACCTCTAACCCCTAACCTCTAACCCCTAACCTCTAACCCCTGACCTCTAACCCCTAACCTCTAACCCTAACCTCTAACCCCTGACCTCTAACCCCTAACCTCTAACCCCTGACCTCTAAACCCTAACCTCTAACCCCTAACCTCTAACCCCTAACCTCTAACCCCTGACCTCTAACCCCTGACCTCTAACCCCTAACCTCTAACCCCTGACTTCTAACCCCTGACCTCTAACCCCTGACCTCTAACCCCTAACCTCTAACCCCTAACCTCTAACCCCTACCTCTAACCCCTAACCAACCCCCTCTAACCCCTAACCTCTAACCCCTAACCTCTAACCCCTAACCTCTAACCCCTGACCTCTAACCCCTAACCTCTAACCCTAACCTCTAACCCCTGACCTCTAACCCCTAACCCCTAACCCCTAACCTCTAACCCCGGACCTCTAACCCCTAACCTCTAACCCCTGACCTCGAAACCCTGACCTCGAAACCCTAACCTCTAACCCCTAACCTCTAACCCCTAACCTCTAACCCCTAACCTCTAACCCCTAACCTCTAACCTCTAACCTCTAACCCCTGACCTCCAACCCCTAACCTCTAACCCCTAATCTCTAACCCCTAACCTCTAACCTAAGGAACTTGGTTCAGAATGTTTTATAGCTGACAATAGCTGAAGGATACCTTTTTCATCAGCACTTTATGTTTGAATCTTCCAGCTAGCTAGGAACAGGGCTCGATTCACCCAACCACCGTAAACCTAACCACCCTAACCACTATAACCCTAACCACCTTAACCACTATAACCCTAACCACTATAACCCTAACCACCTTAACCACTATAACCCTAACCACTATAACCACCCTAACCACTATAACCCTAACCACCTTAACCACTATAACCCTAACCACTATAACCACCCTAACCACTATAACCCTAACCACTATAACCACCCTAACCACTATAACCCTAACCACTATAACCCTAACCACTATAACCAACCCTAACAACTATAACCCTAACCACCCTAACCACTATAACCCTAACCACCTTAACCACTATAACCCTAACCACTATAACCACCCTAACCACTATAACCCTAACCACCTTAACCACTATAACCCTAACCACTATAACCACCCTAACCACTATAACCCTAACCACTATAACCACCTTAACCACCCTAACCACCCTAACCATCCTAACCACTATAACCACCCTAACCACTATAACCCTAACCACCCTAACCACTATAACCACCCTAACCACTATAACCACCCTAACCACTATAACCCTAACCACTATAACCACCTTAACCACCCTAACCACCCTAACCATCCTAACCACTATAACCCTAACCACCCTAACCACCCTAACCACTATAACCACCCTAACCACTATAACCACCCTAACCACTATAACCACCCTAACCACCCTAACCACCCTAACCACCCTAACCTTAACAATCATAACCACTATAACCCTAACCACCCTAACCACTATAACCCTAACCACTATAACCCTAACCACCCTAACCACTATAACCCTAACCACCCTAACCACCCTAACCACTATAACCCTAACCACTATAACCACCCTAACCACTATAAGCACCCTAACCACCCTAACCACCCTAACCATCCTAACCACTATAACCCTAACCACCCTAACCACCCTAACCACTATAACCCTAACCACCCTAACCACCCTAACCACCCTAACCATCCTAACCACTATAACCCTAACCACCCTAACCACCCTAACCACCCTAACCACTATAACCCTAACCACCCTTACCACCCTAACCATCCTAACCACTATAACCTTAACCACCCTTACCACTATAACCCTAACCACCCTAACCACCCTAACCACCCTAACCACCCTAACCACTATAACCCTAACCACCCTAACCACTATAACCCTAACCACCCTAACCACCCTAACCACTATAACCCTAACCACCCTTACCACTATAACCCTAACCACCCTAACCATCCTAACCACTATAACCCTAACCACCCTAACCACACTAACCACTATAACCCTAACCACCCTAACCACCCTAACCACTATAACCATCCTAACCACTATAACCCTAACCACCCTAACCACACTAACCACTATAACCCTAACCACCCTAACCACTCTAACCACTATAACCCTAACCACCCTAACCACTATAACCCTAACCACCCTAACCACTATAACCCTAACCACTATAACCCTAACCACCTTAACCACTATAACCCTAACCACACTAACCACCCTAACCACTATAACCCTACCACCCTAACCACCCTAACCACCCTAACCACTATAACCCTAACCACTATAACCACTATAACCCTAACCACTATAACCACTATAACCCTAACCACTATAACCACTATAACCCTAACCACTATAACCCTAACCACTATAACCACCCTAACCACTATAACCACTATAACCCTAACCACTATAACCACTATAACCCTAACCACCCTAACCACTATAACCCTAACCACCCTAACCACCCTAACCACTATAACCCTAACCACTATAACCACCCTAACCACTATAACCCTAACCACTATAACCACTATAACCCTAACCACTATAACCACTATAACCCTAACCACTATAACCCTAACCACTATAACCACCCTAACCACTATAACCACCCTAACCACTATAACCCTAACCACTATAACCCTAACCACTATAACGCTAACCACCCTAACCAACCAAACCACTATAACACTAACCACCCTAACCATCCTAACCACTATAACCCTAACCACCCTAACCACTATAACCCTAACCACCCTAACCACTATAACCCTAACCACCCTAACCACCCTAACCACTATAACCCTAACCACCCTAACCACTATAACCATAACCACTATAACCACTATAACCCTAACCACTATAACCCTAACCACTATAACCCTAACCACCCTAACCACCCTAACCACTATAACCGCGAACCACCCTAACCATCCTCAACCCACTATAACCCTAACCACCCTAAACCAACCCTAACCACTATAAACCCTAACCCAAACCCCTAACCACTATCAACCCTAACCACCCTAACCAACCAACCACTATAACCCCTAACCCACTATAACCACTCTAGAAAACCACCCGAACCACTATAACCACTATAACCCTAACCACGACTAACCCTAACCCACTATAACCCACCCTAACCACCCTAACCACTTAATAACCACCCTAACCACTATAACCCTAACCACCCTAACCACCCTAACCACTATAACCCTAACCACCCTAACCACCCTAACCACTATAACCCTAACCACCCTAACCCTAACCCCCTTAACTACCCTAATAACCCTCACCCTAACCACCCTAACCCTAATCCCCTAACGCTAAACACCCTAACCACCCTAACCATAACCCCCTACCCCCTAACCCTAACCCTAACCACCCTAACCCTAACCCTTGAATCTGTAGTTTCCCTGGGGATATAGAGGAGGCCACAAGAATTATCTTCTCAGCCTTAAGGTCCAGGGGCTACTCCAGGAGGTTCCTGAGAGGTTAAGGCTGAGGTCAATCAGACCCAGGGGCTACTCCAGGTGGTTCCTGAGAGAGGTTAAGGCTGAGGTCAATCAGGTCCAGGGGCTACTCCAGGAGGTTCCTGAGAGGTTAAGGCTGAGGTCAATCAGGCCCAGGGGCTACTCCAGGTGGTTCCTGAGAGGTTAAGGCTGAGGTCAATCAGACCCAGGGGCTACTCCAGGAGGGTTCCTGAGAGGTTAAGGCTGAGGTCAATCAGACCCAGGGGCTACTCCAGGTGGTTCCTGCCCAGAGTTAAGACTGGGTCAAATCAAGGCCCAGGGGCTACTCCAGGTGGTTCCTGAGAGGTTAGGCTGAGGTCATCAGGCCCAGGGGGTACCCCAGGAGGTTTCCCGAGAGGTTAAGGCTGAGGTCAATCAGACCCAGGGCTACTCCAGGAGGTTCCTGAGAGTTAAGGCTGAGGTCATCAGACCCAGGGCTACTCCAGGGGGTTCCTGAGAGGTTAAGGCTGAGGTCAATCGACCCAGGGGCTACTCCAGGTGGTTTTCCCGAGAGGTTAAGGCTGAGGTCAATCAGGCCCAGGGCTACTCCCAGGTGGGTTTCCCGAGAGAGGTTAAGGCTGAGGTCAATCAGACCCAGGGGGTACTCCAGGTGGTTCCTGAGAGAGGTTTAGGGCTGAGGTCAAACAGACCCAGGGGGTACTCCCGTGGTTCCTGAGAGGTTAAGGGTGAGTCAATCAGACCCAGGGGCTACTCCAGGTGGTTCCTGGAGAGGTTAAGGCTAGGTCAATCAGGCCCAGGGGCTACTCCGGGGGTTTCCTGAGAGTTAAAAAGGGTGATGTCAAATCAGGCCCAGGGGCTACTTCCAGGTGGTTCCTGAGAGGTTAAAGGCTGAGGTCAATCAGACCCAGGGGCTACTCCAGTGGTTCCTAGAGGGTTAAGGCTGAGGTCAATCAGGCCCAGGGGCTACTCCAGGTGGTTCCTGAGAGAGGTTAAGGCTGAGGTCAATCAGGCCCCAGGGGCTACTCCAGGTGGTTCCTGATAGAGGTTAAGGCTGAGGTCAATCAAGACCAAGGGGCTACTCCAGGAAGGTTCCTGAGAGTTAAGGCTGAGTTCAATCAGACCCAGGGGCTACTCCAGGTGGTTCCTGAGAGGTTAAGGCTGATGTCAATCAGACCCAGGGGCTACTCCAGGTGGTTCCTGAGAGAGGTTAAGGCTGAGGTCAATCAGGCCCCAGGGGCTACTCCAGGTGGTTCCTGAGAGGTTAAGGCTGAGGTCAATCAGGCCCAGGGGGCTACTCCGGGTGGTTCCTGAGAGAGGTTAAGGCTGAGGTCAATCAGGCCCAGGGGCTACTCCAGGTGGTTCCTGAGAGAGGTTTAAGGCTGAGGTCAATCAGACCAGGGGCTACTCCAGGAGGTTCCTGAGAGGTTAAGGCTGAGGTCAATCAGACCCAGGGGCTACTCCAGGAGGTTCCTGAGAGGTTAAGGCTGAGGACAATCAGGCCCAGGGGCTACTCCAGGAGGTTCCTGAGAGGTTAAGGCTGAGGTCAATCAGGCCCAGGGGCTACTCCAGGAGGTTCCTGAGAGGTTAAGGCTGAGGTCAATCAGGCCCAGGGGCTACTCCAGGTGGTTCCTGAGAGAGGTTAAGGCTGAGGTCAATCAGACCCAGGGGCTACTCCAGGTGGTTCCTGAGAGGTTAAGGCTGAGGTCAATCAGACCCAGGGGCTACTCCAGGTGGTTCCTGAGAGGTTAAGGCTGAGGTCAATCAGGCCCAGGGGCTAATCCAGGTGGTTCCTGAGAGAGGTTAAGGCTGAGGTCAATCAGACCCAGGGGCTAATCCAGGTGGTTCCTGAGAGAGGTTAAGGCTGAGGTCAATCAGACCCAGGGGCTACTCCAGGTGGTTCCTGAGAGGTTAAGGCTGAGGTCAATCAGGCCCAGGGGCTACTCCAGGTGGTTCCTGAGAGAGGTTAAGGCTGAGGTCAATCAGGCCCAGGGGCTACTCCAGGTGGTTCCTGAGAGAGGTTAAGGCTGAGCTCAATCAGACCCAGGGGCTACTCCAGGAGGTTCCTGAGAGGTTAAGGTGAGGTCAATCAGGCCCAGGGGCTACTCCAGGTGGTTCCTGAGAGGTTAAGGCTGAGGTCAATCAGACCCAGGGGCTACTCCAGGTGGTTCCTGAGAGAGGTTAAGGCTGAGGTCAATCAGACCCAGGGGCTACTCCAGGAGGTTCCTGAGAGGTTAAGGCTGAGGTCAATCAGACCCAGGGGCTACTCCAGGTGGTTCCTGAGAGGTTAAGGCTGAGGTCAATCAGACCCAGGGGCTACTCCAGGAGGTTCCTGAGAGGTTAAGGTGAGGTCAATCAGGCCCAGGGGCTACTCCAGGTGGTTCCTGAGAGGTTAAGGCTGAGGTCAATCAGACCCAGGGGCTACTCCAGGAGGTTCCTGAGAGGTTAAGGCTGAGGACAATCAGGCCCAGGGGCTACTCCAGGAGGTTCCTGAGAGGTTAAGGCTGAGGTCAATCAGACCTTCCAGACCCATGGAGCATGTAAGGTAGAGAGGATCATTTGTGGGGACTTATTCTCAGGCTCTGGTGGGGTTCAACTTTGAAGACAGAAGATAGCCCTATTTGGTAAAAGACCAAGTCCATATTATGGCAAGAACAGCTCAAATAAGCAAAGAGAAACTACAGTCCATCATTACTTTAAGACATGAAGGTCAGTCAATAAGGAACATTTCAAGAACTTTGAAAGTTTCTTCAAGTGCAGTCGCAAAAACCATCAAGCGCTATGATGAAACTGGTTCTCATGAGGACCGCCACAGGAATGGAAGACCCAGAGTTACCTCTGCTGCAGAAGATAAGTTCATTAGAGTTACCAGCCTCAGAAATTGCAGCCCAAATAAATGCTTCACAGAGTTCAAGTAACAGACACATCTCAACATCAATTGTTCAGAGGAGACTGTGTGAATCAGGCCTTCATGGTCGAATTGCTGCAAAGAAGCCACTACTAAAGGACACCAATAATAAGAAGAGACTTGCTTGGGCCAAGAAACACAAGCAATTGACATTAGACCGGTGGAAATTTGTCCTTTGGTCTGGAGTCCAAATTGGAGATTTTTGGTTCCAACCACCGTGTCTTTGTGAGACGCGGTGTGGGTGAACGGATGATCTCCGCATGTGTATTTCCCACCGTAAAGCATGGAGGAGGAGGTGTTATGGTGTGGGGGTGCTTTGCTGGTGACACGGTCTGTGATTTATTTAGAATTCAAGTCACACTTAACCAGCAAGGCTACCACAGCATTCTGCAGCGATATGCCATCCCATCTGGTTTGGGCTTAGTGGGACTATCATTTGTTTTTCAACAGGACAATGACCCAACACACCTCCAGGCTGTGTAAGGGCTATTTTACTTAGCAATTTTTTATTTAACACACATTTTTCTTAAAACAGCAAGTTAGCTAGATAAATTGCCCGAAATTAATATAATTGGTTCAGAGTTTGTTTTGATATTTCAACCTGCATGTCCTGATTGCGTCTGGTGTGGATGGACAAAATCAACTTGCGTGCGATGGTGGACGCTCGATGGCGGACGTTCGCATGTGGTCTGGGTAGCATGTAAGGTCTACACCTGTTGTATTGTATATAATATAGAATAATAATATGATGTTCCATCCTAGGTGAGGAACAACCCGAAGCGTTCATGTCAGTTTAACCGCACCTCTCTAGAAGAATGTTCTGGTATCACGGACCGGACCTACGGTTACCAGAAGGGACAACCCTGTGTTCTCATCAAACTGAACCGGGTAAACACACACACACACACACACACACACACACACACACACACACACACACACACACACACACACCTTCTAACCACCCTGACCCCCTCTAACCTCTGACCTCTGTCCTCAGGTGATTGGGATGCTTCCAGGGAAGGATGGCCAGTCTCCTTATGTCACCTGTGGAGCCAAGGTCAGGCTGGCTGTATAACCCTAATCCTAACCCTAAACCCTAACCCTAACCCTAATCCCTAACCCTAATCCTAATCCCTAACCCTAATCCCTAACCCTAAATCTGCATGTCTCTTCATCATCTGTTTCTCTCATCTTTGCTAATCCCTAACCCTAATCCCTAATCCCTAACCCTAACCCTAACCCTAACCCTAATCCCTAATCCCTAACCCTAACCCTAAATCTGCATGTCTCTTCATCATCTGTTTCTCTCATCTTTGCTAATCCCTAACCATAATCCCTAACCCTAATCCCTAACCCTAACCCTAATCCTAATCTCTAACCCTAATCCCTAATCCCTAACCCTAACCCCTAATCCCTAACCCTACCCCTACCCCTAACCCTAACCCTAACCCTAACCCTAATCCCTAATCCCTAACCCTAACCCTAATCCCTAACCCTAATCCCTAAACCTAACTCTGCATGTCTCTTCATCATCTGTTTCTCTCATCTTTGCTTTTTATGTCACCATTCCATCTCTCTTTCTCTTAAAATGTACTTTCTTTGCCTGTAATATGTGATTGTCCCACCTAGATATCTTAAGATGAATGCAATAACTGTAAGTAACTCCAGATAAGAGTGTTTGCTAAATGACTAAAATGTAAGTGTAGATAGATAGAATGGTAGATATATCTACAGTATCTCACAAAAGTGAGTACACCCCTCACATTTTTGTAAATATTTGAGTATATCTTTTCATGTGACAACACTGAAGAAATGACACTTTGCTACAATGTAAAGTAGTGAGTGTACATCTTGTATAACAGTGTAAATTTGCTGTCCCCTCAAAATAACACAACACACAGCCATTAATGTCTAAACTGCTGGCAACAAAAGTGAGTACAACCCTAAGTGAAAATGTCCAAATTGAGTCCTCTTACATTCCTCCATGACGACATCACGGAGCTGGTGGATGTTAGAGACCTTGCACTCCCCCACCTTCCGTTTGAGGATGCTCCAAAGATGCTCAATAGGGTTTAGGTCTGGAGACATGCTTGGCCAGTCCATCACCTTTACCCTCAGCTTCTTTAGCAAGGCAGTGGTCGTCTTGGAGGTGTGTTTGGGGTCGTTATCATGTTGGAATACTGCCCTGTGGCCCAGTCTCCAAAAGGAGGGGATCATGCTCTAATTCAGTATGTCACAGTACATGTTGGCATTCATGGTTCCCTCAACGAACTGTAGCT